CATTTGGAGTTTTGTGAAGCCCCAACACAAGGTAAGACGATATGTTTTCCTTTAATGCTGCTGCCGCTGTGCAGTGTTTTGCCTTGTCAATCAGTTAAAATTGAATTCATAGTTTTATTAATATTGTAAATAATATTTTCTGACTATTTGTAATGTTATGTAGGTTTGTAAGACCCATAGTTAGCATGTGCATGTGCAGCTGTTGCTAAGTGATGTAGGTCTAATGGTTTATTAAGCCTAGTTAAGGCGAGACACCCCAGGTGAATAGGGTAATTTCTCCAGTTAATTACCTACAATAAGGCAATTGTTTCTTATATTACAAGTTTTCTGAATATGCAAATTATCCATTATCTCATTACATTTGCGCATATTTTAACACATTTCAGGAACCGAAATCTGAACTTTGGATAAAGCCAGGTTCAAAATTCTCGTTTCATTGTGTAGTCATATTAGCATATAAGGCTTTTACAGAAGGGATTTTGGATATCTCTCTTTATCACTCCGTAAATCAGAAAATATTGTCAACAGCCCTAAAATATCAATTTTCGCCATGTTTCTAGGTATACAATCTTATATAATTCAGGGTATGAATGATATATGAACAAACCCTTCTGTAAAAGCCTTCATAATATTGATAGGAATATAACTGGAAGGTTTGGTGTATGTAAGTGCAACTGAAGTGGAAATTTCGGACTCAGAGTAGGAGAAAAAACTCATTTTGAGAAAACAAACTTTAAAGATTGCAGTGAGGCGCTAGCTAAACCCTCTGTTCTTTAGATGATAGCTTGCGCCTCGACGCACTCCGTGAAGGTATTTCATGATCGGGGTCATTTGTGTTTTTTCGCCGTTCTTTTGCCATTTTGAGATTTACATTTCTAGCGGAAAGCTAACCAGGAAGTGTTTTAGCACACCACGTGATGCATCTGAACGAATCACGTTGTCAGAAATTGACACCAGCCAATGAGATTTCGTTTCTTGGTTTAAGACCCTTTTGTGCTTTCACGATTGGTTGCTGACACAAAGGAAATGACCATATTTGGATCCGATGAGATCATTGTGCAGGAGAGACGGAGCTTTTCCAACGATGACATTGTGCAAACAGCGATCGCGGTACTTTATGTTACGTTAGAAATGCTAACTTTTGGTGAATTTAGGAGAAATATACAGATGCAAATAGACTGTGTATTTTGTACGTTTTCCTTCCAAAAGCCTGAAAGAAAACATGTTATGGAATCAAAATAGCACAACATCTCAAAATTGACCAGTGCATGAAAAACGATGTTTTTGCCTGCCGTGTCTCGCCTTTAACAAACAATTTATGCGGCTCGTATCGCTGACAGCCGGGCCCGGCCCGGCCCGGCACCGCCTTTTTAAAAAAAAAAATAACGGCTCCATCCCCACTTTTGGCAGCACCCCCTGAGCAAAATGACTTCCCGCGGCTATGCGACTAGGCTGAGAGCAGAGGCTATACCCACCATCTTCGTGCATCGCCCTGTGGTCAAAAAGAGAAGGGCCCCTGCACTACGATTCACCCCGGGACCTGTATCTACTGTTGAGATCTTCATATGAAGTGAATACTTAAAACGAAAGTTAATTATAAATCATATATGAAGTGAATACTTAAAACGAAAGTTAGTTATAATCAAATATAATCAATTATATTCTTGTATAACCCACAATGAAAATGCTTCATATTTTAGGTTTTTCTATAGTTACAGTATAAACAAAACCAAGTGGTTTGTTAAGTTGAGTGTAAGGCCTATAAGAGTTATGGGTGTCTCTGATAAGAGAGTAGGCCGTTTTTTCCCTCTCCTCTGACAGCAATTCACAGGGAGGGGGGCTCCTTACTGAAGGAGAAAAACATTGAGGCGTCAAAAAGTTGGTTATGATAGCCATAGAACATGTCGGGTCATGTCCAGCCTTGTACATTAGAGGCCATGCCCAGTTTTCCACAAATTGGGTGTAGAGGAGGAGTTTGTTTTTTTGGGGTTTCGATCCGGTTTTTTGAGCATAAAGAGACTGGTTTTTTGAGAGAGCGTGAGAGAGAGGGGGGTTTCCCCTGGTAGACTCTCTCCCGGTAGGCTTTGTCCTTCAGAGTTGGGTTAATAGCTCTCGGTAAGGTTCTCTCAAACTTGGTAAATATCTCTGATATTTGTTGGTTGAAATGCTGAGTGAATTTGGTTTGAATGCTGAGTGAATTTCTTTGAATGCTGAGTGAATTTCTTGGTTGGAATACTGAGTGGAATGATTTGATGGGAGACGTGGTTGTGAGATGTGGTTGTGATTAGGAACCGCCACCGTGAGGATCTTCCTCCGAAATACCTGCGGGAGATAGGTGTGTGTTTTTGAATGTTAGTACTGTTAGAAATTAAAATCAATGTTTTGATGGCATAATGTACCTTAAATGTACCTTCAGTTTAAATGCTGTTTTATACTGAAAAACCAGAAAATTATTGTGCACAACCAGATAAGCTTTTATTCTGAAAATCCTTCATCTCCGGTTAGCATGTGGCTAGTTTACCATTTCTTATAAAGGTTAATTTAGTAGCGAAATGACATGGAGTGATGCACACCGAAACCTACTGATTTTAACACTGCAACTATAGACGTATTATTATTGCTGAATATTAAATGAAGGTATAGTTGATTTGAATAAAGTTATTGTTTACAGACGTGGGTAAGATGTGACAACATCCGGAATGACCAGAAACCAAACCAGCCGTGAAGTATTTTCTGTATTTTTTAGAATATTAACTACAACGTTTAGAATGTGTTAAAGGAAAAGTGATGAAAGACAATATGAGGAGAAGAGGCGTGTTTAAGTATATATTGAATGTACAAAGCCTGAATCCTCTGTTTAAACGTAACAACGGACATTAAGATGTGGAGGGCCGGCCCGCAGGGAGGAGCCTACAGAAGCTATATAAGAGCAGCACCTGAGCGGTTCGGCCTCTTTTCTCTGCTAGCGAGGGCCAGAGACAGCTGCTTTTCTGTCGGACAATATCCTGTTTGTGACTGTACCGCGCCTTTTATTAATTAAAGTACCAATTTGAAAACATCTCAGAGACTCCATTTAGTCTCCTTTTTAAGCTTCTCTTTCCTGGACGCGAGAATAACCATCACAGTTAACAATTGGTGCTCCGC